CGTCGTTCAATAAGAATACGATACATCTTGAGGCTCTGAGAGAGTCACGGCAGAAAAAGCTGGAAGGAAATGATCTCGACATGTTGAAGCGCGACACTCCTTCTCATTCCAACAATAACACCAATACCTCACCAACTACTCTTTCCAGTAATCAAAACAAAAACATCACTTCGTCTTACAATCACACAGCAGCTGTCAGTGCCGTTCTTTACAACACATCCTCAACACCTGTATTTTCCGCTCGGGAGCGTATGAGGGAGGATGAGAGCATGGATGAGATCGACGAGGACGAGTGCGGATATGAAGAGGATGGGTCGGTTCAAGTTCCGGTCAAGGTTGGCGATGTTGCTAGCGAACTGCTGGTGGGCTGGGAGCCCACCGTTCACCATTGTTTTGGATCAAGGTCGGCTGCGGACGTATTTTTGAGGTCTTGGGCACTGAAAAAGGGGCACAAGCTTATAATTCGCACCTCGACTGGCAATGCCGGTAAGCAATATTGGTTTGTACATGTTATGTCAAGTGTGAGATAGAGTTGAGCAAGAAATCGAAATCGCAAACCTAATCGTCCTTTTTCATTTCTAATATCATTTTTTCTACTTCCTTATCCTCTTTCCTCACCACTAAATAGTCAAGTACGTTTGCAGCTTCTTTGGGTTCTATAAATCCAAGAAAGTTGCCGACGAGGATCGACAGCACAACAAGCGTGAGAGTCCACGTTGTGGTTGCCCATACGCGATCAGCATATCTTCCCCTCTGTCCATTGCTCCTCAGTACCACATCACCTCCTTCAACCTCGATCACTGTGAGCACCAGTTCGATTTTAATCTCGGCCGAACCAACCCCTTGACGGCCCCTATGATCGCGTCTATTGGGAAATGTGCCCAAATTCGACTGTCATACAAGCAAACACTGGACATTTTGCGTATCGAATTTCGGGATGCAAAGTTCTGCAAATATCAGGTATCGTTGTGGACAGTTACTGTTTGAGCGACAACTTTACATTTTGACTTAAATCAATTTTCTCATACACATTTTATCTCTATACAAAAAAAAAAAAAAAAAGGTCCTCAACCGTCTAAAGGAGTTTAGGACTTTACTCCATGCAATCCAGATTCCTCAGACGGTCCAGCTCCTAATCGCTTTATGTATGAGGGCAAATCAGGAGAAGGGATGGTATATTGCCACCGATGTTGATGACAAGAACCAGCTTGTCCGGGTCTTTTGGATGACCCCAGGACAGAGGGATCTTTTCCGTCGCTATGGTGATGTGCTAGTGCATGACAATACTTATCGCACCAATCGCCTTGGCCTCCCGCTGCACAACTTTGTGGTCGTCGATTGTGAATTCAAGACACGACTCGTTGCGACCGCTCTATCTCGTCATGAGACAAAAGACGACTACAAATGGGTTCTCTCCAAGCTTCAAGAGGCAACCGAAGGACTACTGCCAAAGGTTATGATGGTTGATCAAGATGCGGCAATGGATAGAACGCTTCCTTTGGTGTTTCAGGGTGTCCATGTGATTAATTGCATATGGCATATCCAGGAAAATCTGAGGAAGCATTTGTCTTGCAGATTGAAAGAGAGATACAATCACTTTTTCAGTATGTTCAAAGCCGCCTGTTGTGCCTTAACAGCCGGCGAGTTTGAACGCATCTGGGCTCGCATCCTTCAAAACTTTGGAGGAGACGGCTTTGGCATCTCTATCACCTCTACTATTACTCCTAGCTTTGATACTGCCACCATCGCCACTACCATCGTCAACGAAAACGACAGCAACAACAACCTCAACGCTCTACCCAGCCTCTCCACTCCACCCAACCTTTCCACTCCAGTAAACGTCGCCACTTCCCACATCGCTGCTGACCCCATCTTGTCCGTACAGGAGCGTGATACTCTCGAGTCTGGCGAAGTTGGAGTACATCTTGCAAGGCTTTACAACCGTCGTCATTTCTGGGCAGGACCATGGGTGCAAGCCTCTTTCACCGCAGGGATGCGCTCCACGCAGCGCGTCGAAAAGAACCACGATGTCCTCAAGATGTTTCTGCATAACAGCAAGACTTCCCTATCGGATCTGTTCAAAGCGATCATGAACAAGATTGAAGATGAGATCGATCTCTTCACCATTTTGTCGAATGATCCGAATGACGCCAGACCGGTGAGACGCTTGGGCGTCAGCGATACGACTTACGATATCTTTGGTCAAGTCCTCGATGCCAGCAAGGTATTCCTCAGCCAGTGGGCCCAAGGTCAGCTGCGAACCGAGATGGATTACTCCTTTGGCCTCAAGTTCACAGTCGTTAATTTCGGAGCGGTTCCTTATGTCCAGGATGGTGAATTTTGCTTGGTGAGTTTTGTAATGATCCTTTGCCTTATTTTTATCATCTTTGCCTTAATTTTATCCTCTTTGCTACTTTTTCAAGCATTTTTTCCTTGGTTTATGTAACACAAAGGAAAATGCACTAATCGCTGGTTTATTCCAAACACTCCCTCCAGTCAAAACTATCCCGCGCTGAACAACTTCAGCGTGGCTCGGTTCATGCTTTGCTCACGTCCATCCCCAGGCACACATCGGAAGGGGTTTTCCGTGTCTCTTCTATGGCTGACACAGGAAAAGGCACGCGCCCAGAGTATGTGATCTTACGAACAAACCGCACCTACTTCTGTACCTGCGCTTTGCAACAGAATAAGGGCATTGTTTGTAGACATTTCTTTTGTTTGATGATGGAGGATGCACGATTCCTTTTTCACCCTTGCATGATTCTGCCACGCTGGTACAAAGAGGGAAAACAATTTGATCCGAACCTCAAGCAACAACTCTCCGTCAAACCTTTCCTCCGTGCACAGACGGTAACAGTCAACGAGGGTGCCAGCAAAGACCCGGTCGGCACGGATCTATCCATCGACACCTTTATGGACGACCCTAACTCTATCCTTCGACCTCCACCTATTGCTCTTCATTCAACACAACCCAAAGTCCCAGGGAACAGGATCCTTATCTCCGCCAAAAGTCTCGTCAAAAACACCATTAAGCTGGACGGGATCGCGGAGACGATGCAAGCTCTTGAAGAGGGTGCTCGCCTTCTAGTTCAACAGTCACAAGAGCCTGGAACCGTAGGCGCAGATTTGAGCAAGGGATTGGATCTAGACAGTATAGTCGATGGAACCAAAAGTGACCGGAAAGGAGAAGGTCGTCCACGTGGAGTCAGCCTTCCGCACGGTTGGAAGTCCAAGGCCATCAAGAAAGCAAGCAAGACTATTATCACTGGTGCAGCAAGCCAAGCGACCAAAGCGACCAAAGCGACCAAGGCGACCAAAGCGACCAAAGCGACCAAGGCGACCAAAGCGACCAAGGCGACCAGTTCTACAACAGCCAATGGAAATGGTGTTCGCGCTGCTGTCAAACGAACAAGAACGGGAGACGATGATGGCAGCGACGGCGGTGATGTTGAGGAGGTAGACTTGCCAAAGAAGATGCAGAGAGGGCCAAAGTCAAAGTCCGGCGAGGGGCGAGGTTCAAGAAGGCAGAGAAGCAGGAGTATGGATGCCCCTGACCAGTAATGGTGAATGTGAAGGAAGAGAAAGGGTTGAGGAGGAGGCGAAAAAATGGAGAAGGATGAAGCAAGAGAATGAAGCCAGAAGAATACTCAATTAAAGACATATGATATTATATGATTTTGTTATTTATTCAAATACAAGACTTTGACATGGTCTAAATTGAGGTTGTAAGATGGCGAAAGAAGGAAATGTTTGAGTGGGTTGAAGAAGGGAGCAAATCAGGGATGTGTATCGTGCTGCGGGTGTTAACAGATGGGTAAAGGATGTGTCTACGGTCGTGTTTTGGCAGCGGGAGAAGGGAAGAAATGAAGAAGCGTAGGGAATTTAGGCGAAAAGTAACTGGTTTGTGGACCACGCTTTCTTTGCGGGCCCTTTATTCTCGTAGCTGCGCGCCCACCCGATATTAGTATGGTTAGGGAAACTCTTCTTTCGACGGTTTCATATGTGCTGCTTTGTGTGATTATAAAAAAAATAAGACACCGTTGCCGATCGTAGTTAAGGGATGGGTGGTTCTTATTCTTATTTGGAGTCTATTTTGTATTTGTCAAGGGTTTGCCGCAGGAGAAATGGATATCAAGAGGAAGCGGAGGGGGCATGTCGAGCAGTCGTCGTCATTGTTCTTGTACATTGTTTGCTACGTTTGTACTGTGGACGACACTATCTTTTCTTTGTGGTATTCTGTGACAGGCTCCCCCCCAAGCCCAAGTAAAAGTACGGAATGTGTGCCTTTTGACTATCTTAGAATCGTAACACGCACTTGTAGACGGGTAAGGCCTGTTGATCAACTGTGTTTATGTGTCAATAAGTGTACTTTTGACCGAGCTGAGTTTTACTCTCGGTATCAGAGTGGTTGGCATAGGTCGAGAGTGAATACTGAATGGGTCAACGGCACAGGGAAAGAGAACCATCTGCAATGTGTAAAGGCGTTGGTGCCAAGGACTTTGAAAGGAGGGTTTGTTTTTTTCTTTTTTGATAGTACGCGATTTTAAGTTATTTCTCTAGAAAGTAGTACAAAGAAGCATTTGGAAGTAAACGACTACAGACGAAACTCCTCAGTGCACCATCTCCTAGTCAGTGAAAGAGCGAAAAGAAGGTGGGAGGGTAAGAAAAGAGATGGGGGAAGGGGAAAAGTGAAAAAGAAAGGAGGAAAAGAAGGCAATTGTTGCTTTGACGAGGAAGGAGGGATGGAGGATTCGAGAGACAATACGGATGCTATCTACACCAAGGACGTTCTATGCTAGCATTGTGGACCTTAAACATTGTCTCCAATATGTTCACACAAAAAGGTTTTGCAAGAAGAGGGTTTATATTGTATTATATGGTCAAACGTAATCAGAAAAATAACAAGCATGATGGTGGGGATGAGCCGTTGTTCAGGACGACTCTTGTTGTTTGCATATAGCCTTCTCCTCCTTTACACTCTCTCCTTTGCGCACTTCCTCTCACTCCTCCGCCTCCTCCTTCACATCCTCCTCCTTATGCACTTCCCCCATCTCCTCAGCTGCATCCTCCATGTCCTGTGAGTCCTTCTTCACCTTTACTGTGTTCATTTCATTCTCTTCTCCATCCATTCCACGCGAGAATTCCTCATTGTGGCGTGCAATAACTTGAGCCTGCGCCATGTTTCTTTCCATGCTATTTTCATACTCTGGGGACTCGGACTCTGAGATAACTTGATCGTGGTCATCAAGATGCGGGATGTAGCGTCTCGGGTCGACACCAAGCCCAAAGCGTCCATCGACAGAACTTCCTGGCATGCTGAATCCTTCCTGTGAATCTGAGAAGAAAAAAAAAACGAAGAGTTATGTTAACTTGAGAAAATACACAGCCACATGTCTAAAGAGATCAAGTGTTTACCTGTCTGCCACCCAGGCCTCTCAAATGTGAACTTCTCGATCCTGTTAAGCAGTCCCTCAGTCATGTTCATCAGTTTCACAGTGTTGTCAAAGATCTTGTTTTGCTTGGCGGAAAGGTCCTTGTTATTATCCATTAGTTGTTTAAACGATGTCGAAAGGTCGGTCTTGAGACTATCGATGCTGTCCTCGATCTGATAGAGCCGCTCAGACCCCATCTGACTGTACCCAAGAAGGGTCATAACGGTGTTCTGGAACCGAACCATGCCTTGCACTTGCTCCTCGTTGGAGCCGTCCATGTCGATGTCGGGCTGTAGAAATGGATTCATGGGAGCTCGATGGCCTGAACTTGCGCTTGAAGAGGCACTTGTCCGCTGGGTAGGGAGCCTGACGCGCCCGCTGCTGTCGTCCTAGTTGTTGGCGAGTAAACGGAAGCGAGCGGTGTCCATCGGCACGTACAAAAACGGCAGACAGCAATGTGCTTCAACACATTCTGACGAACATTGGTGGTTACTTGGCATTGGGTGGACGGACATGGATAATGATTATCATGGTTGAACGCAGCGAGGAACACGATAACATTATCCATGTCCGTCCACCCAATGCCAAGTAACCACCAATGTTCGTCAGAATGTGCTTCAACACATTCTGACGAACATTGGTGGTTACTTGGCATTGGGTGGACGGACATGGATAATGATTTCGTGTTTCCTCGCTGCGTTCAACCATGATATCGGGGAGTCCGGGTCGTTGAACGAGAACCGCAATCTTCTCATGGTATCTCTTGTTATGCTCCTCGGTTTGTCCCTCCGGAGGGACCCGGCAAAGTCTTCGATCAAAGTGTGGGCAGAGAACGGTAGGACATCGAAGGAGTTATGAGTGGAAATGTGTTTAGAATACTTTTCTGCTGTTGTGATATGGAAGTGTTGGAATTGGTTTGCTTATGAACAGTATGAAAATAAACAGAAAAAGAAAAAGAGATATAGATGTCGTTATTGTACGAGATTATTTTGTGGTTCGTTGGGTGTGCATTGCAAGGATAAACGCAATTCTGCTTCTTCTGATGTGGTCCTGTTGGCTTCGGCGCGGGCGAGCGTACCATGTACGTGGTTGTGAGTAAATAGATGGCGATACCAATTGGGTATTACTCATATCGGCCAAGCAGTTGCTTCGCCAGAATCAAAGAAAAAAAAAAGAGGCAAGCGAGGGAATAAAGGGGAGAGGATGTGGTCAAGAAAGAGGAAGGAAAATCAATGAAGGGCCCGTGCAAACATGTGCACCCTTTTCTCTTTCGAGTCTCTCAGTCATTCTTGTCCTCTCTATCTCGCCCTCTCTCTCTCACACACACACACGCACACACTTCCATCTCCTTTTTCATGGAGAGCCGCGAACGAGCGTGTTACGTAAGTGATTGTGAGTAAATAGATGGTGATACCAATTGGGTATTGCTGATATCGGCCAAGCAGTTGCTTCGCCAGAATCAAAGAAAAAAAAAAGAGGCAAGCGAGGGAATAAAGGAAAGAGGATGTGGTCAAGAAAGTGGAAGGAAAATCAATGAAGGGCCTGTGCAAACATGTGCACCTGTGTGGTAGGGTTTATTTTTATTTATCCCTTTTTATTTAACGAAGAAACGCTCAACCGATCACGCCACACAGCCGATACTGCTTATTATCTGCTTTGTGGTGCAAAATAAAGAAAACACACTCTTTCTTCTCGTTAATTCTACCCCCATACTTCTCACACCCTTTTCTCTTTCGAGTCCCTCAGTCATTCATGTCCTCTCTGTCTCGCCCTCTCTCTCTCACACACACACACGCACACACACACACACACACACACGCACACACTTCCATCTCCTTTTTCATCGAGGGCCGAGGCCGAGCGTGTTATGCACGTGATTGCGAGCAAACATATGGCGATACCGGTTGGTATCGCCCATATCGGCCATGCAATTGCTGGACCAGAGTCAAGGAAAATAAG